TTTATCGCCGACATGGAGTTTATTTGGAACTTTGATAGTTTTAATGATACTACTAGTTGTTTCGTTAGTAGGAGAGCTTGTAGCTTCATTGAACGTACTGTCTCGTTGGTTATGGAGACAATGCGGTATAAAACTCTCCCCATTGTTTTACTTTGCTTTCATTGCTACAATTGGCTGGGCAATTAAAGCATCAAAATAGATGAAGCACAATAAAATGATTCATCATTTCGAACAAGTAAATTGTCTTTGACTTTGAAAAAAAATATATATTTGCACTTAAACATAAAACGAAGAAGTCAAAATTTCTACCTTCTCGGAGCAGAAGATTATGTCCAATGCAACGAAAGACTCCGACAAAAGGGTTGATCCTCTAAGATATGCACTGAATGCCGATGGCGCGTCCACTGAGGTGATGCCTTTCTTAACAAGATGCACGCGAAATGTCACCCTTCTTAAAAGCCACCATTGGAGTGAATTTTCTTACCCTTCATTTCTTAGTGTAAATTGGTGTTGAAGCTGAAAGCCTGAATGCACATCTGGTAATTGGCAATGACCAACTATACAACCGTCGTTAAGTATTTCTTTTCTAAGAAGCCATGGAGTGTCACTGTTTGGTTCTTCAACCAAATCCACTTGAAGATTTTCTCCACAACCTAAAAATATGCAAAAGCAGCTTGGGAGGTATTTGAATGCCTTACAGGGAGACAAAGCTATCCCAAACACATCGTACCATGACACATAATCTCTCCAACGTGTCGATTTTCGGATTCAACTTGAATTGTAGTTTGAAATTCTCCACTAACTACAGGTCTGAATTTAATTTGAGCTTCTGTTGCCATTTCATGAACAAGTTCGAATTCACTTGGTGAAACATCGAACACTCCATCGAAATCCTGAGAAAAAAAAGGAGTTAGTCCTGGTGCACGATACTATTTGTTTGAATAAAGTAGTGCGTGCAACTTACGGGGCAGAGAAATATGCGTGCACGTTTTTGTGAGAAAAGGTTAAAGGGCACCATCTTACTTAATGATGAATTCACTAGACAAAGGCCCATATCGACCACTTGAGGAACTAGAGTTACTAAGGTATCAAAACGAATTTGACGACTCACAATTAATGTACTCTTCTTCCCTTTTAGCAAAAATCCGCACTTTCAGAGGTTCTTCTTCTGGACGGTAAAAAATTCGAAGTGTTTCACACACATCGTCTTGAAGATCAGACGAGACTAATTTCACCAAAAAGGAGCACGAGAGACCCGGTGCAATCAGATTACTACCTTTTCCTGGATAGCGTCCTAAAAGGCAATGTTGCAACCCATTAAATTTAGATGCTCTTTGTTTTCACTTTAGCGTATCTTATAAGAGATTTACTCATTACAGTCAAGAATTGCCTGCAATACCATGACTGTTCGCCTAACTCTGTGTTTCGGCTACCACACCACTTAGGTCGCCGCCATTACTCCCTTGTCGGAGGTCGTCTATCGAGTCTGTCAAAAGTTCGATGTTCATCCCCTTTCACTGATGCTTATTGCATTAAAGTACGACGTTTCCTTAGTCTTGAAGGTGATTTCATAACTTTATATTTTATTTTAAGTGGATTATTTTCCGAAAAGGATTAGGAGATCAAATTTTAGTTAAGTATTGCAATGTAGAAGT